GCGGAGGGGGTCTGGGTCCAGGCCCAGCTGGGGGGGGGCGTGGCAGCCGCGCAGGGGCCGAGTAGAGATGGGGGGGGGCTCCCCACACCTGTTTCTAAGAAGCTTCCATCCCATGCCTCCCTGCGGGAGGGGCTTGGTTGGTACCTTGTTCGGTTTGGGGTGCCAGCCTGGGACTGGAACTCGGGGACCTGTCTGTGCCCCTGGGACCAGACACAGCAGAGCTGGTTAACTAAGACTTCACAGACTCAGCCCCGCTCGGGCCGGCCTCGAACCGCGATCCTCGGGGGCTCCAGCCTCCCGAATGAACGAGGACTCCAGGCGGGAGCCACCCAGCCCGGCCCGCTGCTCCGATGCCCCCCCGCAGCCGCCCTGGGGCTGCCCGTCCCCGCGGGGTTCGGACCCCGCCAGCTGCACCTCCTCTTTCCTTGCAGTTCCCGCCAGCCTGACGCCAGGGGCCCCCCGCCCCGCGCCCCGCGCCGCCATGAGTGCTGAGGTGAAGGTGACGGGCCAGAACCAGGAGCAGTTCCTCCTCCTGGCCAAGTCGGCCAAGGGGGCCGCGCTGGCCACGCTCATCCACCAGGTGCTGGAGGCGCCCGGCGTGTACGTGTTCGGCGAGCTGCTGGACATGCCCAATGTCAGAGAGGTGGGTGGTGGCCTCTGGTTATGACCCCCTTCCCCCCTCCACACGCACACTGGGGACAAAAAAGTTTCCATTTGAGAATAGGAGGGGCGGGCAGGGCCCATCCTCCATCGGGTATCTATTCCATTCTGTTAATAAGTTTCCTTTCCCTTGGGAGATGGGAGATCTGGAAAACCTAGCGTTCTTTTTCTGTGTATGTATGTGTGTGCATGGTGTGTGCATGTACATGCACCAGTCCTGGGGCTTGAACTCCGGGCCTGGGCGCTGTCCCTCAGCTCTTCAGCTCAAGGCGGGCGCTCTACCACTTGAGCCACAGCGCCACTTCTGGCTTTGTCTGCTTATGTCATGCTGAGGAATCGAACCCAGGTCCTCATGCATGGGAGGCAAGCGCTCTACCACTGGAGCCACCTGCCCAGCCCAAGGCTAGTCTTACCCACATGAGCCCCCAGCTTCACTTCCAGCTTCCAATCTTTTCCTGTCCCGGCTGGCTTTGAACCGTGGTGCTCAGGTTTGGTACTCAGGTCTGCTGAGTAGTTAGGATTATAGGCATGGACCACTGACCACCCCCTCTCTCCCCCCAGCCCCCCCTAGCCCCCAAAGCTGGGTTTTTCATTTTTAAGCAAGATAACATGCAAAATAGGAGCTTTTCAGCTCACAGTCTGTACTCCAGAACTTGATCCACACCCAGCTATTCACTTGATCTATTTTGCTGTTTTATTGGAGGTAAGGGTCTGGGATTTGTCTGTCCAGACTGCTTCAACCCCAGTCCTCAGACCTCATTTTTTCTCTTTTTTTTTTTTTTTGGTCATGGGGCTTGAACTCAGGGCCTGGGCACTGTCCCTGAGCTCTTCAGCTCAAGGTGAGCGCTCTACTACTTGAGCCACAGCGCCATGTCTGGTTTTCTGGTGGTTCCTTGGAGATCAGAGTCTCACGGACTTTCCTGCCTGGGTTGGCTTTGAACCTCCATCCTCAGATCTCAGCCTCCTGAGTAGCTAGTGACAGGCGGGAGCCACCAGCACCAGCATACCTCATTCTCTCGAGTCACTAGAATTACCAGGGGGGAGTCACTGGGACTCGCTTCCATTCCCTGGAGTAGGGCTAATTCGTGTCATCAAAGGAGCAAAAGACGCCCTTTCTGGAAAGTGTTGCGTGTGGGTGTGTGCGTGCACGCGTGTTCTGGTACTGGGGCTTGAACTGAGGATCGGGGTGCAGCCCTTTCTGAATGGGTGCCTGGTTAGCTTCGAGGTGGACATGCTGTCGCCTGTGAAGAGAGCAATCGGAGGGGTAAGAAGTCGCCTCCTGGGCCGGGAAGGATGGGACCAGAAGGATCAGAAGAGGGGAGGGAGGCTGGGAGGCCGGCCTGCCCGCCCTTCCTCTCACCCCCGCTTCCGCTCACCCCCCCTTCCTCTTGCAGCTGGCTGAAAGCGAGTTTGCGTCCACGTTCCGTCTGCTGACGGTGTTTGCGTATGGAACGTACGCTGACTACCTAGGTAATCGGGCGCTGCAGGTTGGGAGCAACGGCGGCAGGAGAGGAAGGGGGGATTCTGGAGAGACTTGGCAGCGCCGGTGTGCCCCGCGGCGTCAGGGCCAAGGCCTCAATACCGGGGGGGGGGGTGAGCGCAGCGGGCTGCGCAGGGGCTCCGTGGCCGAGCGCTCGCCCCCCACGCGCGAGGCCCTGGGTTCGATTCCTCAGCACCCCAGAAGCAGGAAAAGCCGGACGTGGCGCGTGGCGCAAGTGGTCGAGCGCCAGCCTTGCGTGGAAGGGCTCAGGGAAGGGGGAGCGCTCTCAGAACTGAGCCCCGCACGCCCGGCCTTGCTCTGCCCCCCAGCGGAAGCCAGGAGCCTCCCCCCGCTCACCGAGGCCCAGAAGAACAAGCTGCGCCACCTCTCCGTGGTCACCCTGGCCGCCAAAGTCAAGGTGAGCGGACCCCGGGCCCCGCCCCCCACCTAGCTCAAAGCCAATGAGGCTCGCGAGCATTCAGTTGTCCCGCCCCCTCTTCCGCCGTGATTGGTGTCTCACCTCCGCCTTGACAGCCATTTAGGCTCAACATGGCTTTGTCTTCTAGTCTCTGGTGGTTTGATCGCCTGGGGCTTGAACTCAAGGTGGCCATTCTGCTGCTCCACTCCTGGCTTTTTTTGGGGGTAGTTTAGTGGCAGTCAGAGTCTCACAGATTTTCCTGCCCTGGCTGGCTGTGAACTGCGATCTTCTGATCTCCGTCTCCTGCGTGGCTGGGATGGCAGGCGGGAGCCGCCTGGCGCGTGGCTGGGCTCAGTCTGGTGTCAGATACCATTGCTCCACACTCTGCTACTTCTCTGTGACCCTCTCGACCATTCTACCACAACCAGGCCCCTGGATCTTTGTGTTCTGTTGGTCTGGGGGCTTGAGCCTGGACTCAAGCTGTCCCTGAGCTTTTTCTGCTCAGGATTGATTGGTGGCTGATCTAGCACTTGAGCCGCAGCTCCACTTTCTGCTGGTTAATGGGAGATGAGTCTCGTCGATGTGGCCGCTTGAACCGTCGGCATCAGATCTCAGCCTTCTGGGCAGCTAGGATGACAGTCGCGAGCCACTGGCTGGGGCCAGGCCCTGCCTGTGAGTGACCCGCTCCGGAGGAATTCCTGTTTGGTGGTAGTTAAGTCTTAAGTGGCCAATAGTGGCTCTACTCCAGCCCAGGCCACGCCCACCACCATGCACTCTGGGAATCCTGCAGATCTTGCCCGCCCTCCCTTTCATGGTCATAAGGGCTCATTATCTTAGGTTCTAAGATCATCTTTCTGTGCGCTGGGCTCCAGCTGGCACTTGCCTATCATCCTAGCTGAGGATCCTGAGATCTGAGGATCGTTGTTCAAAGCCAGCCCAGGCAGGAAAGTCTGTGAGACTCTTAATTTCCAATGAGCCACCTAAAAACCAGAACTGGTGCTGTGGCTCAAATGGTAGAGCACCAGCCTTGAACAGAAGCGCTCAGAGACAGCCCAGGCCCCGAGTTCAAGCCCCACAACTGACAAAACAACCACAACAAAATCCTCTTTTTCATGCCTGGTGCAGTGGCTCCCTCCTTTAATCCCAGCTACTCAGGAGGCTGAGATCTGAAGATCGTGGTTCAAAGCCAGCCCGGGCAGGAAAGTCGGTGAGACTCTCTCATCTTGACAAACAAGAAGGAAGGCCGGGAGGGGCCCCTGGCTCTTCTTGCTGTTGTATTTGAATTGAGGCCGCGCTCTGGTCGTCCTGGACGATGCCGGGGAGCCGAGCGGAGCGCCTCACCCCCTCCCCGTCCCCCGTCCCCCCGTCCCCCGCAGTGCATCCCCTACGCCGTGCTGCTGGAGGCCCTGGCGCTGCGCAACGTGCGGCAGCTGGAGGACCTGGTGATCGAGGCCGTGTACGCCGACGTGCTCCGCGGCTCCCTGGACCAGCGCAACCAGCGGCTGGAGGTGGACTACAGCATCGGCCGCGACATCCAGCGCCAGGACCTCAGCGCCATCGCGCGCACCCTGCAGGAGTGGTGAGTGCGCACGCGTGCCTGCCCGGCCGCCGGCCGGCCTGCGCGCGCCTACTGCGGCCTGAGCCCCAGGCCGGTGGTCCACTGGAGATGAGTCTCCCAGACTCTGCCTGCACAAGCTGGCCTCCAACCATGATCCTCACCTCTTAGCCTCCTCCCGAGAACTACCTCTGAAGGCCACACCAGGGGTCTTCCCGGCCGGGAGGCAGGGGTGGGGCTAAAGGAAGTCCTTCCATCCTTCCATCCCAGGGCTCTGAGCCAGCCTCCGTCACGCCCCGGCGAGGTCTGTGGAATTGGTGCTGCCTTGTTATGCCAAAGCCTTGAACTAGGCCCGGAGCTGGCTAGGCAAGGGCTCGCTTCTAGCCCTCCATTTCAGGCTCTGCGTGATCTTTCTCCCCCTGCGGCTGGGATTATGGTAGGCAGCCATGCCTCGCTGGCTGGTGGAGATGGGGTTTCAGTGACACTTGTCTGCCCAGGATGAGCCCACGTGATCTCCAAAATGTCTGTTTCTCACGCAGCTGGTATTACAGGCGTGAGCAGCCATGCCCAGGCCACAGAAGGGGCTTTTTTTTTTTTGGTCCTGGGACTTGAACTCAGGGCCTGGGCGCTGTCCCTGAGCTCTTCAGCTCAAGGCGGGCGCTCTACCACTTGAGCCACAGCGCCACTTTCGGTTTTCTGGTGGTTCCTTGGAGATGAGAGTCTCACGGTCTTTCCTGCCCGGGCTGGCTTTGAACCGCGATCCTCGGCTCGCAGCCTCCTGCGTCGCCGGGATGGCAGGCGTGCGCTGCGCGCCTGGCAGTGGCCGGGCCCCGGCTGCGGGGTGACGCCGCC